ACGATAGGTCGCCCTCTCGTGCCTTCTTCTTCGCAGCCGCCTTGACGGCCGCTGCGGTCTCGTGTCTCTCTTGGTCCACCTCGCGTTGCGGGGGTGCTTTCTTCCGTATTTTCCGAGCGGCGAATTTCCTCGCATCAATCCATCTCTGCAGAGCTTGGTTTTTGCCTGTGGTGTTTTGACGAGGAGGGCGCAGCACTCCCTCCCCGCGGTGCCCGTGGTTGTCTCCCTTCTCCCGCGAGCGGTGCTTACTGACGTGGTGTTTACGAATCTCTCTACTCCTCCAGCTTCGTGGGCCACGCTTTCCGCGACGGTGGCTGCCAGGTGCAGTTTGCCGCTTTGCATTACTGCCGCGGGAACAGTGTCCATACACACCTCTCGCCACTACCACCGTCTGTGCATCCTCACCGGCACGCTGAGCCAGCGCGGCGGTGAGTTGCACCTCGGGACACCACCCGCCGACTATCTGTTGTGGCCTAGTTCGCCCGTGAGGGACTCACCAGGTCGATTTCGGCCCCGGCCGGGGAGCAGGCCGAGTGTATGTATCTGTGGGAATGACCCGGTAAGTACCCACTGTCGCTCCCCCAAAGCGTTCTGATTTTAGTATAGGGTCATTATTGTAAAGGATTCACTATGGGATGCATAATGTATTGCATTTAGGGTAGTGGTAGCCATGTGCGGGGCTGTACCATTTCCCCAATTGATTGCCCTGACCATTCGTGTAGAGCACGAGGAATGGTGGCCCATGTAGTGTGGGCCGAGGGTGTGGCCCTTACACCCTGGACAATCCTTAGTTAGGTTAATCGAATACTGGTCTAATAATATAGAAGAAATATCGATAGTCGATACGTATTACAGTAATCAATATGATGGTTCCGGGTGCATCGATATGTATTATGAGCAACGATAGATTGAAACAAAAGACGCAACGCATTTTTGCTCCCGCGGTAATAGGATAGAAAAAAACGACAAGTCTTCGATATGTATCGCTTCGACCAGCACGCTTTTAGTTGTTCGTCCATGGATATTGCAAGGTACGATATGTTTTTCCAGAATTCGATTGATGCATCTTGGAGCAATAATACGTTGATGATCGTCGCGATCAATATCTATCTATCGTTCAAACACTATGTTGATACATACCGTACGCTGTTGTAATAACTATTTTCAACGCGAAAGAAAATATGCCTCCAAAACTTTTTCGCGCTCGGCGCGAAATCAATTCTATGCAGGAGTAATGTTACTGTTAAGGCCATGTGGGGGGGGGGTGTACTCATAGTCGTGCATGCCGTAGTCGTTAGACCATTGACCTCGCATCCCTACAAAGCCGGGACGGAGCACGCCGGGTTCTCACCGGACCAGGCTCTCACATCACCAAGCGCGAAGCGCCGTGAGATATTCGGCGAGGTGTGCTGCATCCTGCTAAGGGTGTTCGGCATCTTGTGCTTACTTCCTTGCGTACGGATGACAGCTGCGTGTGACTCAATTTATTTTCTGGTGCTTCACTTCCAGAGACAGTTGTAAGCACTGTGTAACTGCCTCGAGGATGCTTGACCATTTTGACACAACGTGGTGCGATCATCCCCCTTGGGAGTGAGGCTTCTCCACCCCGCACAACATGATCTACTCGACCACTATTGCGGTTACCGCCAAAAAAACAACATATGTAAAAAGAGAAAAACGGTAACCTGGTTGCCGAGTTCACGAAGTGAATTGGCTAGTTATACAACGTCGTTGCCAAGCGACGAAAATCCAACCCCGATGGCAAACACCGAGGGGGGGATAACGCCATGGGGGACGAACCAAAACAAACGAACGGACGGACGTATCGATTGCCTGGCACTCATATCGATCGATACTTTCCGTCTGCATTGAGTCATGCGATATCAATTGATACCATTTCCACTAACACCTTGCTTGATTGAACCAATATGCATATATATATGATGATCGAATTTCTCCCAACCAATAAGTCGAAGAACCAAACGATATCAGTTGATACCAATTGTATACATACATACAACATCTTGGTAGCAATATCTAGTGGAAGGTATTCTCCCATTGTATTGAATCCATCAATACATATCGATTCCAATTTTTAGTATGTATTGATTGGAGCATATGTAGTCTATTTCATTAATACTTCATGTTGTTGTCCTCCAGGGTGTGATCCACAGCTCAATTCGGGCTCAACTCGGGCTCAATTCGGTTCGATAAATAATGTCGCATTATATATATAGAAGAGTCATCGGAGCTGGGAACGGAGCTCATTCGAGGGTGTAGACACACACATGGTTTTTTCTTGCGCGTGCGACACCTCTGCGCACGCTGTATGTAGAACTGCCTATAGATTTAAACTGGCAAGTAGTCGTCATTTTAACGGAGCATTCGCGCAGCTTCGCGGTGAATTTGCTCCTCCTCCTTCGGCTCCCCACAGCTATATATTTTTTTGCCATCATAAAAGAGTCCGTGACCGCCTCAACACTTGCCTTTGGGATGGAGCTACAACAATCAACCGTGATGAATTGTCAGATACATACAATCCGACGGTGTGCAACATTGCTGCACACACCACTGCTTGAATAAAATACGCAACGCCAGCAAAAGGCTACATGCACGCACGCTCGAGATAATATGTAGGGCCTGATATGTAGAAGTCTTCATTCAACAAGAGTCGAGAGACACCTGCGGGATAATAATGGACTTCGCTACATGCGCGCACATGCGCACAACAACTTTTGTTCGTATCAACACATGTCATCGCAAAGGGACAGACTACACATTGAGACGATGCTCCAGGGCTGTGTGCAACTTGGGAATAATTTGTGTTTAACTCTGCAGCCAGCCGCGTGGTGTGCTGACCGACGCCTACTCTCTGCTGCCACTCTGTCTGGCTGGGGCAAATAAAAAATGGGCCTGTCTTACAATTGTAGAAACTACCATGTAGTCTACACATTTCACAGAAAGGCTACACCCGTTCGAGATATCACCATAATGAAAGGGGCGCGGTGAAGTCTCTGCAGCGGGTGGGGCCCCTTGCCACCCCACTCGTTGCTGAATGATCTCTGTGGTAACGTGCAGTAGTGGTGCATGATCGGATCTCTCGCGTAGGTTCTCCGGAGGGTGAGTGTACTTGCGGGGCCCCCAAGATACCTACCCCTGCCGTAACGATGCATGGGTGGCAATTTGCACCCGCGCACCCGCGTCTGTTGGTTGAAGAGCGGACGGCACTTCCGTTCTCTGTGGACATTTTCCGCACCATGGGACGCGCAGACGTGGCTCTAGCTGGTTGGACTATTCTCCTGTGTTTTTCCTCCGTCGCAGCCCAGAACGAAAGCTGTACAACCGAGACGTGTGGCGTGAGCACCTGGTGAGAGAGAGAGAGAGAGAGAGGGAGAAGAAAGTGGATTTGCTTTCGTGATCCCACCGTTTGTCGGGTAGATGCGACAGACTTCGGAACTGTTTTTCGTGACATCGAGCTACAGCTTTCACGGTGGTGCGGGGGGGGAGATACGGATAGTTAGGCCTGCTGCACCGAACTTTCCAGTGGTCGGCATGCTCCCCAGCTGTCAGTTTTGACGGCTACATTCTTTGCCTTGGAAGTCAACAGTCTCTACATGTGCGGCGAAGAAGTAGACTATCCATAGGTTATTATGAAGATGTTCTGCCTACTTTGCCGGCCAAACCAGCAGCAGTTGCGTGTCAGCTGCCCAATGGTTGCTCGGACCACGAACAGACAAGTTCCGGGCGGAGCCGATCCCTCGGCCAGCCCCAATAGACCTTTGCTACTCTCTGGCTCCCGTTGGGTCCCTTCCCCGAGTTTCGGTTTAATTGGTCTATTGACGAGTGATTTTCGTGTGTCATCATCCCCGTGCTGTTCAACTCTTGCATGAAGTCACCAACCGTTGGTCACGAGTAGCGGCACCTGCAGCAGATAGGGGTACTCGAGAGAGCTGTAGCTCACAACACGAGCTCTCTAGTGTGCACAGCGGTGGAATGGTTTGTCTGTTTGGACACCAGCGCGGCCGGCTGTCGGTGTCAAACCACTTCAGGGAACGATGTACCTGTCGGTGCAGAGTTGTGAGTTGATTGATGCATGCGGATAGATGAACACTGCTCACTGCTGTGGTGTGCCCAGGTTTGTTTCTGGATGTTTTCACACCGCACACAGCGGCTGCACAACAACGCGTACCTATCGTCCCACGCATGCACCGCCGTGTCAAGAGTTCTACAGCAGTGGGTTGCCTGCTCTTGACTCCAGACCCTTCGTGCCATGGGAAATACTGAATATTTGTTCGTGTTTTTTCTTGTAGCGGGTGGGGGGGCCGAAGCGACGAAGGATCGGCCGGCAAGGCGTTCTACCCTAGGGAACAGAACCGGTCGCCCCGGTGATCTAGCGGGTAGTCTCGCAGCCTGTTAAGGGCCAGGTCATGGGTTCGAGTCCCGACAGAGTGAGTTTTTTCTCGCTAATTAAATCCTGGTCTCCGTTGGAAGCGACGCGCTGCAAAGCTCGTTGTTTGTAAACTTGATCGACTTCATAAGTCGCGAGGGAAGGGATTGCTGTACCTTTCTCGCGATAAAAATATCTCAGGCAGAAACCGCAGGAGGGGGTCCCACCCCCCCCCTCCTATGTGACCCCGGTTGGGTCGTCTAGCTGGTAGAAGTGGGGAATAGGGGCCAGAGGGGCAGACGACAGAGTCCAATGATGGGAGACAAGAGAAAAAAAAAGCAGCAGCGCGTTTGAACCGTGCGCGGGACGCAGCTGGTAGAAGTGTAGTCAGTTGTACGGTCGCCCTTCAAGCACCTGCTGCAATGTCGGTCGTCCCTACGCCTGGGATCGATCCCGCCGGCAAAATATATGCTCATCCTTCTGTCCAGCCTCCCTCGGTGCCCCCCCCCACTGGGCGGGACAACGCGGTTCAGATATTGTTTCAGCAGGTGTCGTTTCAGCGTGTCTGCCGAGCTATACTAATTTTTGCTCGTACATACTTCGAAGAGCATAGGTAAGACTGGCGGCTTTTCTCGGTTCAGCCGGGTACCGCGGTCCCAAGCTTGCCGTTAGTAAATTGAGGAACACACCGTTGTAGGGGCGGCAAACCCTGCTCATGCCACATAAGAAGTGCATAGTTTTGAGCTGACCACCCACCCACCCGCAAGGTTGTCCGTACCTAAACTATGAGGGTGTTGCGCGAGCACTTAAGGGGGGGCGTCGAAAGACCACTCTTGGCTCCAAACGGCTCGTGCGACCGTAAGGGCTCAGCCACTGCACCGCCTTTGTTGGTTCCGGTGGATTAGCACGCTCCACAAAGGTTTGGGCCGAAGAACCTGACAGTCTTTCTTGACCGCCCGTCCGTGAATATCCCGCCAACTGATTGCCGGCCCTGACGTACGCTGTGCATAGTGCCAACTGATCGCAAGCCCTGGCGTACGCTTGTGTTTAGTGCCAACTGATTGCAAGCCCTACCTTAAGCTCATGACCTGCGATGCCGCACACTCCACATAACCCCGCCCCCTTGGTGCGAACCGTGTACGTATCGTGCGACTCTTGTTGTTGCGTCGTTCTGTTGCAAAAATAATTCCCGGAAAATAGCGAGCCTGGGAGCGAGCTAGAGGTCTCCCTCGAAGGGACGAGCTTGGAGATCAGCTGCAACCTCTGCTTGGAAAATTTCTACAAGGCCGAAGAAGGCGCAGAGTGAGATTCAGCGGTGACGCTTACGAGTACCCCGTGCAACCAATGAGGAAGAAATGACACCTATTTTTGCGGTGTAGCTTTTCGTCTGTACGATCTCTCCCGCACTGTTCGTACCGACCGCGCAATCCGTGCAGCGGGTTTGTCCGACAACTGGGGCGGGGGCGCGCGAACGAGACTAGAAATGGCACAGCAATCTCAACCTTCACAGGAGTGGAACTTGCTCACAAGTATCACACATTCCGTCACCGTTACAGTTTACAGAACCAACATAGGTTTTAGTTTAGTACGGAATGGGGTCCTCGTTGTGGCGCGTTCTGCAGCAGTGCCACTGGCACGGGTTGTTGTCGCGTATGTGAGATGTGTGTCGTGCGTGCGCTCAAAAATCACTGCCCGTACTCTTATTTTTGTGCCCCCGTTCGCTCGTCTTGATACCTTCTGGGCTGCTTGTTTTATGGCTGCGCTTCTTTCTGGCACGCCGTGGGGACGGGACGTGGCGGTGATGGCTTTCGGTCGTCAGTCCTTGCCTGGCCTGTGGCGATGGATTGGTATCGGAAGTAGGGGCAGTCGTTTGCTCTTTGGAGGCCGGGTTTTGGAGAACCAGCAACAGTGAGTCGCGAGGTTGCATGATGAGTTGAATCCGGATTTATTTATTGCCGCAGAAAATTGCTTGGATAGCAGTTTCATGCACAGATAAGCGATTTTTCCAACCACGATTTTACGGACCCCCCCCCCCGGTGTTTGCCATCGGGGTTGGGTTTTCGTCGCTTGGCAACGACGTTGTAAAACAAGCCAATTCACTTCGTGAACTCGGCAACCAGGTTACCGTTTTTTTTTTTTTACCTCCGGTTTTTATTTTGGCTGTAACCATTATGGTGGTCGAGTAGATCATGTTGTGCGGGGTGAACCCTC